CCCAACCGGATTTTAGCAGTCGTGGCGTCGCATAAAAACCTGGCTGTGATCTTTAAAGCTCAGCCTTTGGGCTGTAAGTTAAATAGATAAAGAGTGCAACATGTTTAGAATTAAAGCTGCAAAAAAACACACAGATAAACACAAACCCCAGGGAGCGATCCACAAGAACTCATATTTTCATAATTCCGCTTAATAAATCAGCTTAGCTGTAGCCAGAACTGGCTGTTGAGTAATAACTGGTCCTGTTTGGTTTAAAAGCTGAGGCCGAATTATGAGGAATTACTAAGCTAATGATGTACAGGTATCAAGTTACTAAGAAGAAAAATTTGCCCTCTGACAACCTTAAAGGCAAATAATCGAAAATTATTCATATTGCTAATTGGTGGAAAACTATTTTGGTAAAAAATAACGCAAAGAAATGACAATGATAATAAAAACAATTTGTTTTGCACCGATACCGATACCAGTATCGGACGGGGCCCCGATACTGCCCTAAAATGGTGGCATCGGTATCGGCGAGTACCAACAAATAGGGCGCCGATACCATTTTGAGAGCCAAGTTTATTCAGCTATTGTCACCCACTCCTGGTAGGCAATAAAAAGTTCTAATGGATTCACTTTGTATTACATTTTTTCCTGCTTCACAAAGGAAGGCAGCAGCTCGACATGAAGCCATGATGGCAATTATTTTACATTATTATGGTATCGGTATCGGCCGATACTGCACAGCCAGGTATCGGGTATCGGTATCGGGGCCAAAAAATGGCATCGGCGCAACACTAAAAACAATGACATAGCTGAATTAAACCCAGGCGTCTAAGAGGCAGAATTTTCCCTGCATAGATGAAAAAGACCCGCAGCTCTTGAAAATCCGCTCCAACTTCCAGCCTGTTGGGATCTGGAGGTTTGTCCACTTTCTCCACCAGAGGGCGTATGAGATCTCTTGGAGCCTGAGCCGACCGCACCACCTGTCTTCCATCTGCTCATCAGGAGATCTGTACTTAAGGAGGCGGAGGGCTTCACTCCAGTGCCAGAGTGTTTGCCAGTAACGCTTAGCAAGCCTGAGCCAACCTGCCTGTCTGCGAACTCTGACTTTGGTGAACCAAATCTGATCCCGTTTTCTCCTCTCTGCTTCCCAGGTTGATCCTGCCTGAATACCTGAAACTCTGGAGAGTTTCTCTGCCGGTGATCTGTCTGCTCGTTCTCAGTAGAACTCTGGAGAGCTGTCTCTGTCAAGTATCTGCCTGCCCAAAAATATACATTGCAATGGATCCCAAAAAAACTATGAGAATAGATAAAGGTGATTATTGCCCGATTTCAGTCTGTGATGGCTGCAACTACAGCCACCCAAATGTGGTAACATTCAATCACAACACACTAAGTCAGCAAGTCTCATTTCATTTATATTGGGATTTCTTTACATTTAGGATTTAATTTACAGAATTTTTTAAGGCATAACACTGTATTCTAGAATAAGTGTGCACATTTTAGTTTACACTGTTATGTTCTGCTTGATTTAATCTTTGTTTGTTTTTTTTGAGTCACCTCAGTGCTGGCTGCTCCAGTCCTTCAGGAGAACAGAGGTGGAGAAGGGGTGGAGCCAGCCCATTGAAGCTGCAAATTGGTTTACATCACTTCTCATCAGCAGGAGGGGGGGAATGGGATTTTCCTCTGTTAATTTCAGGCCCCGTCCACACGAAGCCAAACCCTGGCCTAAACGCACCCATTTTTCACCAAACCAGCCTCTCATCCATACGAAGCCGGCGTTTCGGGGGTCTGTAAACAATCTTTTTTTTATTCAGCCTTCAGAGTGGGAAGATTTTGAAGCGCCGTTTTCGCGTTTCCATCTTTAAGCTCTAACCGCATTTTTTCTTACACGCATGCGTCATAGCGTCGCCTCTAAACACGCATGCGCGACACAGTATCACAACAACAATGGCGCCGTACTGTGTTGAATGGTTGCTGCTCATGCTACTCACCCTGCTGTCGGGCTTACAACAGAATCTTCTTCTTCTGGAATATCTCCAGGAAGAACAGAGCAATATCGACCACATAGTTCAGCACCTGAATTTGACTGAACCACGAAAATGGACCCGCAGGGCAACCATGTATAAATATTAGTGCGCATGCCAACATTTCGTCGCCTATTTTTGCTTTGGCACCACAGCGCCACTTACAGGCCTGGCATACATTTTGCAGCGTTTTCATGCATTCGTGTGGACGATCACATTTATTTTACGTCTCCGTCTTTACGACAAACGTTCTGGAAAATATTAGCGTTTCGTGTTAGTTTTGACTTCGTGTGGATGGGGCCTCAGTTTTTGTGTGTTTCCCCCTTTGTATCTTCTATGTGGCCTGATCAGCCAGTATTTAAGTTTTCCGTTTGTATCATGTAGCAGGTCTGTTTGTTTCAGTAGGTCTTTTTGTTAGCCTGAGTTACTTTGACCTCTTTTATGGGCCCAACTTTGTAATTTGTCCTTTATTGACCCCAGTTTTTTGTTTTGGGTTCAATAAAAAGAAGACTTTTTTGGATCTAAACCTGTGCCTGAACTTCCTTTGACTGCTCAGACCATCACTCAGTCTTTGATAGCTATATATATATCTCTATATATATAGAGATATATATATATATATATATATCAAATATTTTTGCTATATACTGCTATATATTCAGTTTTTTTGTTGTTGTTTTTTCAAATTTGGTGATTTTTAGCTTATTTACATTTCACCAAATTTAAATAAATTACATTTTACCATTTCCAGCCTTTCCATGCTTAAGCCCACCGTATGTTTATAAGTCTATGGCTGCAACTCCCTGTTTCATTATGTGCGACAGCAGGCCCACTTTAATCATATTAACACCACCCTAAATGGCTGGAAGGAGAAATATAGAGTCTTACTCTTATTAAACGTAATGTGATACATTTGACAATTGCCTCTGCGATTTTAAAATGAGCATTTTTCTAAATTGCGATTACATTGCAAATGCAATTAATTGCTCAGTTCTACTGCAAATTGATCTAAAATGAACATGTTGGTCAAAATGTTTAACATCTTTTAGCAACAGATAATCCAGTAGGAGGGGTATAATGAAACGCTGCAGTGTGTACAGGTGTCCATCTGCAGAAGAATTGCAATACAGTATCTTGATCTATATCCATCAGTTTAGAAGAATAAGGGCATTTATTCTAACTGCACTTGTTCCTAGTCCTAGTTCTTTATTACAATCCACAATGTTCTATTTCAACCATTGCACTGAATTTATTTGCTCATTTTAATCCCTCTTAAAATCGGTTTTCTTTTATCTTTCTTCATAATAAGTATCTTGTGTGGAAGTATATCCTTTGTTATTGCTGCATATAGTTGAGTCCTTTTGGAGTTAGGTATATTTAACAGCCATCACTACCTTCACTTTTCCTCACTCAAATTCCTATAGACTATAGACACATGGATGTACAGAAAGTGTTTTGTGTTAAAGCAATTTCTTTCAACATTTTTCATTTAACAGGCCAGAAGCTGTAAACTGCGAGTAGAAATCCTGGTATCTACAAAATAAGAAATGCTTTTATGCTGATGGGGTAAATGTTATGAGTTATTCAACCAATCCTATCTGCATATGAAAGTAGCCATGTGCCCACATTAAAAATGAAAACATTTCAACAAACCGGCTTTGAGCCAAAAAAGCCCCTCTATGAATGAGCTGTGGGTATGTCCCCCCCCTCCCGACATGCGGCAGGGTGGGATTTTACTTCAAAACAAAAAGAGTTTACAATTTCTAAAGCTCACAAACCTCCATTTGGAGCACTAAGTGGTTGCTTTAGATCTTCTACTTGCAGATTTTACAATAAAACAATAAATCATTCTCCTTTTAGAATTTGCTGGCTTCTTTCTTGGTTGAAGCTCTGCCAGATTGCTCCTACTGTACTTTTTTTCTTCTCGCGTCACAAAAATGTCCAAATTAAGTCATTTCAACAGAAGCTAACTTGTGTTTTCACTCCCTATCACTGCTAAAAGCCTGCTAGTAACTACTGTACTCGGGTGTTTACCTTTGTTCTAAACATAGCTTGGTTTTGCATTCCTCTATCGTTGTATAATACACTGATTATACATGTTAATGGTCAAATAAATGTATATGTGAAAGTTAAAGGGGTATTGAAAGAAACTGAACCTATTTTTGTTTCTCTATAAGCCTCATACTCTGAGTCATCTGAGTTATATTTGTACATACTGTAGTTCATTAGATTCCTTTAGAGCAGGGGTCTTCAACGTTTCCCAGGCTAAGGACCCCCAAACTGATGGCAAGATGGGAGCCGGGACCCCCTAATTATACATATTGTATGAAATTGTATCATATAGAGTTGGTGCTATGGTCACTCTATTAAAAATGGTGTCATGTAACTAAAGTAATCACTCCCTGGGATTATTAAAGTATTTCTGATTCCTGGTTGATGGGACAGGTGTTGTGAATGAAACGGTGCCCAGGTTGAAAGAGCTCCTGTGTGTCGCTGAATGTGAGCATTGATGACTGAAAGACATCTTCTGCCTCCATTTATCTGTTTACTACAGTCTGTTGGATTCATGTTAATGAGTATTGAAAGACATTTCAATTAGTAGAAAAATTGCAGGGGGAATATAAAAAAAAAAAAAAAAAGTCTAATCAACCAAACCTTTGGCGATCCCCATGCAGTACCCCTATGGACCCCCTAGGGGTCGCGGACCCCCTGTTGAAGACCTCTGCTTTAGAGAGCTCGTTATTTGAGAATTCACAGGCTTCAGTTTCTCTTTTATCAATCGTTTTAATAAGGAGACAACGCTATTTGATAAAATATAAAATAACTTAATTATAACTCTGAGCAACAAGTTCCCAGTAATGCTGTAAAAGACAAACATAGAGGCTAACTGCAATTTCAAATGGACTTTATGGAAATAGTGTATTTCTCATAGATAGCGTGATATCCGACAATGGCTGAAACAGATTGTAAGCAATGAATAATTCCTACCTGTAAAATGTGGCTACCCAGGTGAGGTTCGAAGATCTCAGAGGCAATGGCACTGGGAGTCCTCCTCCGCTGAGTACCGATAGCTAAAGCAACGAGTGCACACACAACAAAAGAGAAAGCACAGGACAGGACAGAAGAAGACCGGTGAGACTCAGACACATTGATACGAGCAAAGCTACATCCACTCACAAATATGTGTTCTCACACATAAACACACACACCCACGCACATTTATACAGCCTAGCATGACAAACACACATGGCACAAGACAAGAGGAACCGGTGAGGTCATCATCGATCAACTAACCTAGCATTACATTAAAGATTAGCTCTGTTAGTTAATCTAACTGGGATATCTTTAGCCATGTTGATAACGATAACCATTCCCGAAAAGTTGAAACACAATCCACTGGAGCATTTTTCAAAGTTTGAAGATGTTTCACTTCCCATTCAGGAAGCTTTTTAAATTCAAAATGTCAGAAATAGTGTTGAGTTCAAGTAGCCCAAGAAATGCTTGTTTTTGTTTAGAAACATGCAAATTTAAACAGACAAACGGAACTGGGCTCGTTTGTCTTCTTTTGTTAGCCTGCAATGCCCTATACCTGTCTATGTCTCTGAAAGGGGGGGGGGTCATTAAGGGGAATTGTTGGCCTAGCTCAATAGGTAAGGTTTTCTGTTTCCCTGTAAAGGGGTTTGGGGTTGCAATGATGGCATGAAGGGATCAACTCAATTGCTGCATTGTAGGTTTTTGAAAGCTGAAAACTGAGTCCACCCTCTTGGTTAAAGGTTGTTTTTTCTTTCTTCTCTTTCTCAAACTTGGAAAGAAAGTTCAGTGGATTGATTTTTAACTTATTTGGAAGGACTATGACCTGGAGGATTGAGAATCTCCACCACCATGACGATAACCATGTTTGTCTGATAAAGTTGGCAGGTTTAACATTTGCTTAAAGTTAACAAAACATATCTGGAAAGGAAAATAGCACTGAAATGTAGAATGAAATGTATTATTTTGGATAATTTCAAAGTGACCTGGCCTCTCCTTAAAGCTAGATTGTTTAGTCTGAGATGATCAACTGATCTTGCAGTCTCACTTAGGCTAGTTGACCAGTTAATCGAATGGGTCAGGTACCTGAACTTGAACGGAGAGGAACTGCAATTAGGCCAGTTTCTGTTAAACATGAATAAGGAGATTCAAGGTTGCTAAAAGTGACTTTGTAATTGCTTTTCTAAGAACTTATTTTACTATAAAAAAAATCCTATTAACATATTGTGATTCAGTTTGTACAAAATGTTCTTTATGTATTGCTATATAAAACTTTGAGATGAACAGTTCAAAATATTGTTTTGTTCGGTAAACATTTGAATGAGAGCTTTATCTGTGATGTTTTTTTTGTTTTGTTTAATAACAGCAACAACATAACACAGAACAAAAGCTAAGGAGCAAACTCCAGAGAAGAAGAAAAGAAAAGATACAGTAGTAGCCATTTAAAATGTTCCCACTTTCCTTAATGGGCCCTTGTCTGGTCCCCTACAATTCTATTTTTAAACATCAATCTTTGTACTAAAATATAATATAGATCTAAAAAGAAGCACTTGTAATGGATCCTGTAATTCAGTGAAAGGGTAGAGCCAGAGTAAAAAAAAAACGCACGCCAAGGACTCACAGGGGAGTAGGCGGCCATTCTGCAGGAGTATGACTGGGAAGGGCTGCTACTGTGCATACGTCAATCATTATATAGTTCACATCTAAACATTTATAAACGTTTGAGACAGGATGTAGACACGTGGTCTTCAGCATAGTCCAAGAAGGGCTTCCATACGCGTCCAGAAACGTCAGAGTGGACGAGGCATAGGTTAGAAGGTCGAGAGGGATATATTCCAAAATAAGCTTCTTCCACCCAAAAACAGTAGGAGATTTATTAGAAACACATTGTAACAAAATATTCTTTCAAGCACAGAAAATTAGGACATTATACAACTTACTCTTGTTTTGATTTTGGATGTGTTTATTTGGTAGATCGGGGGGAGTATTGAATGACACTTCACAAGTTCCGAAAGACAGTTTTTCAATGCCAGAAACTTCAATGTCCCTGAGAAGTGTTGTTTGTTTTTTTCTCTGGGTCTGTAGAACATAAAGCCCTCCGGTAAGAAATGGATGCAGTTGTTTGGGAGGTCTTCCATGCTTTTGTAAGAAAGGAATATCATCAATCTGGTAAACCCCCATTTTAAAACAATGCTTGTTTAGCTAGTTTGACTTTGTCTGTAGCATTTTGCATTAGCAATGTGTTCAGCAAGCACCAGATGGCATTGAGCCCCCCAAACTTAGACCACAGACATATTCTTGTTCCTTGAGTCTAAGCTTTCTTTTTAATATGTTTTGTTGTTATGCAAATATTTGTATTTTTTTGCTGCACGTTTATGATATCATTGATATTCTACAAAATGCCTTAGCTATGTCCAAGAGCAAGGAGGAGTTGCAGAGGGAGAATTAACAGCGAGGAATTGTTTGAATTCTGTTCTAATTAAAATTAAAGGATTTTTTCTCCAGAGATTTGATTGAACCCTAGCATTTCTAAAGGTATGATTTAGATACAATGCAGAATGGTCATATATAACAATGTGCTCTATTTTGCAAAATGCTAATTGTCTTAAAATAATTTTAGGGAGAAAAAAAATAGTCAATACATGTGTGGCATCTGTAGGGGTTGGAGTAGAAAGTGTACTCCTTTCCAGCAGAATATTTTCCCCATACATCGCGGAAAATTTGTTTTGATTTCCCTGAAATGCGAAGGGGGCTAATGGGAAGCCTATCAATCAGTGGATTATTAAGGCAAATGAAACCACCTCCTACAATAATATTTTCAGCAGAGATCAGCCAGTTTTGCTATTATTTCCGTTAAGAAGTTACTAGGGTGACCTGGTGGAAAATAAACATTCAATATCACAAATTGTTCCCACTTTATCTTTGCTCTAAGAGGTACGTAACTCCCATTTGCTTCTTTATTACATCTATGACTTTAAAGGGCATGGATTTTTAATTGCAACTCCTCTACCTTTGTTAGTAAAAGAGGAGAAAAAAACATTTTCAAAACCTCATAGTTGAAATTCTAAATATACAGAGTTGTTTAAATGTGTCTCCTGCAACAGTGCAATAGCTAAGCCTTCCTTTTTAAGGGCTAAAAGGACCTTTTCTCTTTTAATTGGTGAATGACTTGCCTTAATGTTCCATCTAGATAGTCTTAGCATTTACAGTATAATCAAGAGTCATAATGCAATACCACCCAAATAATGATTACATACTAGGACTGCAATGTGGTGAGCTTAACAAGGAACCAACCAAAACTAACAGATTAGAACCACAAAAAAACACCGGGGGGGCATCCCTTCCTTTAACAAGCACGTGTTTATCTCCCTGATGAAGACACACACAAAACCAAATTCATAAGAAAGTATAGCTGAGCATTCAGGTTGAAAAGAGTTGTAACCACAATTACTCACACCATTTGTCCTTATAGGGAAAGAGGAGAACAGAGAGAACCAGAACATACAAAGAGACCAGATCCCTGACATCGTCCGGTCCAGAACGTTTTCCTCCATGATCTTCCGCTGGCGTAATTTCAGCCTAAACTGTCTACAAACTACATTGCTTTATCCGGTGAAATGAAAATCTTTGCTCCCCCATCAGGTACAATCCTCCCCCCAGCCAGTTAAAGAAGAGAATACTGGATGCCTGCCTCCCACAATCGTCGCTTTATCGCATCGAATCCTTTGCGCCTGCGCGTGGTGTCTGCCGAGAAATCCTGGAAGTACATGATCTTAGAGTTCTTATACATCAGAGGCTGGTTCCCGTTCCCTACGCGGTTTCAAGAACCTGCTGTTGATCCTGGAAGTTATGAAATCTGATCAGCACTGGCCTGTATAGGCCTGGGTTGTGGAGCCAGTGTGCCTTCTAAAGCTTGATCCGCTGGTCTCTTGCTCTTGGTCTCCACTTGAAGAAATTCGCACAGCTATTTTTCAAAGAATTTTAGGTCTCCAGGGCCAGCCTCTTTGCCTTCTTTTATACCAAGCACCCGACTTTTCCTTATTAGCAATGTCAATAATTCATTGTTCCATTGTAAGGGCCTCTTTCTCCCAACTTTTTTTATAGCCTGATCCAAGAAATCCTTCTGAGCTGCAATCCTGTCCTCTGCATCTGTAGTGCATCAGATAAGCTCCTTGATCTCTGTGGCCTCGCTCTGAAGCATTTTAGTCAGAATGTCTACTTTCTGGGAGGTAACTGATCAAATGTTCCAGGTAATTTCCTCAATAACTTGGCAAAGAGAGGGATCGGGTCTGGTGGCCCCAACAGCTGCTGGCACCTCAGCAGCTAGCTCCATGTTAGCCATGTTATCTATGCCAGTCACTTGAGACTCTACTTTGCAGGACTTGTTGGGTTTCTTTAGTATTTTGGGCAGAATTGTGCTGGAGTGAGTCAGAAGAGTGTTTGGAATTTGTATTGAAAAGTCTTAGGAAGAGGGTGGCTGCTTAAATTTAGAATATATGGTGCACAGTTCAACAAACTCAACTGCTTGCTACACCTCCATCTTCTGGACCCCCTTTATAGCACTTTTAAGTTTGACCCTCAGAGCAAAACTCTCACAGAAAAACATAAAGCCCAAGAACCAGGAGGAGATTTGGAAAGAGAAACCATTGCAACATGTTTGACCTTCCATCAGGTAAAATCATCTTAAAGGTAAAATGATTCTATAGGGTATCTGGTCTGGGCTGAAAATGGCATATTAGCTGTTCTATGAGCCCTAATGCAGCCTGGTTAAAAGCCCTAGAATGAAACCACAGGTTTTCTTCCTTTTATGGTATGATCATGAATATTTAGATGAGCTGTGCTCTGATTGGTTGGTTTACAACGAGCCAAGCTGCTGAGCAAAGATGCATCATAGCAACAAGCACTCACTCTCTGAAACATCAAATTGTTGATATGGTAGGGGGACCAGGCGTCCTCTTTTTCCTGAACATGTCCTAATTTTCATGCCTAAAAAAATGTTCAGGGGGAATTTAAAAATTTTCCGGGTACTACAGTGCAGTAC